GCTATCTCAATTTTTCTTGCATGGATAAACTTCGTTTTGTTTCTAAAACGATTTTCGTTGTTTGGAATCTACATCCTTATGACAAAAAGGGTTTTCTTTACTGTTTGCCAGGTACGTTTGAACGCGAACCTATAAGTTCGAAAGTATATCTTGTATTTTGCATGTATAGTTTCATATTCTTCAAAAGTGCGCTTGGATGATGCATGAATATTTAGAGCAGTTATCTGGATCTCTTTAGTTTTCGAAAGATTTCCACTAGAATGTAATATGCTATTTTATAGATTGGTTTTCTGTAACAATCTTTATCCGTGCATGGTCGCAACGTAGGAATATAATCTCTTTAATAATAAATGAACAGGTCGATGATTTCAATCTAAAAGAGGATAAAATTTCTCCAGCTTTCAAGTGATTTGTATTTTATATTCGAAAAGATCCTCAGTTAGCAAATGCTATAGTTTACACGAAGTCCAAAGAGAAGTTGGAATAGAGAGTGCTGTCGTGATTGGGTGACTGATGCTGACGGACTCGTTTACCAATTATAGATTCCATATTTACCTCCGCCAGGAGGTTGTGTAATCATCTGTGTTTGTATGTGTATGTGTGTGTGCATGTGTGTGTGTGTGCATGTGTGTATGTGTATTTGTCTGTGAGCACGATAACTCAAAAAATACCAAACATGCATTTCCAATCGACCAAGGGAGAATGATTAAAATTTGGTTGAATTTGGTTAAAAATTGAACGAGAAATGAAGAAAAGTTTGTCTCGCTTTTCCCGGTCAATTAAAAAAAGTCACTGAATGCGTAATTAGGACGTGTATAATTTATGCACACAGTATACAGGATATAAAGATGTATACAATGAATGGTATAATCCATAGATATCTTATATATACTAGATAGCGCATCTAATTATTCTGCAATTCAAAAATTGAAACCGTGATTGCAGTCTCAGGATATTCCCATGAAATGAGAAGACTCGTATGTTTTCTATTTCTTAAACACATAACTTAAACATTAAGTTAAACCTATTCCAATACATTTTCAAACTATTCAAATGATTAAAGTTATTGTTGTTTTTTAAGCGTTTATTAGCGAGTGGGAAACTCCAAAATTGCCGCCATCTTTTCAAATGGGTATAACCGCTGGAATATTCTTGGCTTCAATTTTACTAAAAGAGATGCGCTATCTAGTGTATATAAGATATCTATGGTTGTAGGTCCCTGCGAATTGAAATCGAATTGCTAATAGATCATATTACTGTTGTACTGTACTTGCAAAATAAAAACTTATTAAGCGTCATTTAATAAATGCATAAATTTTGCTTTATGCACTCGCGTTTATACACCCTGTAGGCTGTATGGGCGGAAGTATGCAGTCTCTGAGTGCCCTCTAGTTTTAATATGGATTTGCCAAATTCATCTACATTGACTTCTAGCTGTACATGATCCGTGTAATGATGTCTTTCAGCGACGATACAATGCATCTACTTTAACATAATTGTTTAATAATTATGTGGCTATACTCTCTGTCTGGACCAACCTAAAGCTGAAATCCAGACTATCTTCTAGTTCGGCTCAAAACGCACGAGTTGTCATTACCATAGCAACGGAGCTAAAAATGACGATATATGAACACTTGCATGGTAACGTGTTCTATTACGGTATTAAATCAATTATGCTCTTTAAACCGCGATAATAGTACAGTAACATGACATGACAAAGCGAAGTTTATACAATACAGCAGTGATCATACTATACCTGTCTCTCTTTGTGATTCGAACTACAATTGAATTAATAGTTTATTAGTATTATTAATATTTTAATTGTCTTATCTTCAAGTCTTATGCTGCAATAGTTATTGGGTACATTTAAATAATTCTTATCCTTTGTCATTTTCATCAACAGGTGTTGCCGCTGGTTGTATTATTTATCGCTGCCTTTTCATTTTCACTCTCCTTGCTCATGCCTCTCGATCAAGGTTTCAACAATGTTCCCATTTCGCTCCTGACCACATTTGTCATGATGACTGGAGATCTAGATTATCGAGGGACCTTTCTGGCTAATAGGCCACTACATGTCCTAGAGAAGATATTTCTTGTGCTATTTATACTTATGGTGTCCATTGCTATCATGAATTTACTCACTGGCCTTGCTGTTGGCGATACGAGCGAGATAATGAATCGATCGAAAGAGGAGAAAAGGATTTACAAGGTAACGTATATAATATTGCATTGGAAAACAAATTTAAGAAATGGCTCAATTAATATGTAACAAAATAATAAATAACACTGGAATAATACGTACCGAAGAGATATAGCAAAGACTGTATTGGAGACTTGTTACAAATGATCAGTAACGTGTTCGTGATTGATAAGTAATAAACATGGTGTCCCACAAAATACAATAGTTATATACAAAAATGTCCCCTCTGTTGTTGGTTAATCACTATATCACTACAGATAATTACTTGACAGATAATTATCAGCGATATTCGAAAATTTAATCTAGCTAAGCCGGAGATGAATTTTGACATTTGGATTAATAAAATTAGTCTAGCAAAACCAATGTTAGAGCTATTTGAAATAAGGGCTCATCAAACCTATTAGGCCTAATCCCCGAGCCGACGGCGCGAAGCGCCGTGCGAGGGTACTAATTCCCCCCGGCTATTTACACCCGGGGAAACGAAAGCATTAGCGGAGTCTAAAGTTTATCAAATATCGCGGGCGTGGGTCACCAACGGTGTTGGGTGGGTGGTCATCCTCACTGATCTCAAAAATATGGCGGACTGTCACGAATAGCGGACACTGATTGGTCCAATTTAAAGTTTGCATTTTTACGACTGCATGACGACAGCGCAATAGCAAACATTTCTTGAGTTGATTTGATGATTGATAAATTTCTTGCAAATATATTTCATTTTTGCTCGCATTCTTGCAAGATTTTGTAAATTTCAAAAGCTCTCCGAGAAAGGACCTGTGAAAGAATCGGCTAAAAGAAGGGAGCCGACGTTAACGAAGGTAAGTTTGTTTTAAATATTGATTTTATAATGGATTTAAAACCCGACGACCTTTGCGTATATGAAACAACTAAACAAGACAGCATATAATTTCAGTGTATCTTTAATATTGATTCCCTTTTTTATGATATTGAAATTTTTAAATAAATAAGAAAGCAAACTTATTTGCAAGCGAGAATTTTAAATCATTTTATTGCAAACTCAAAGTTTATT